AGAGAGAATTATGTCTTCCGGGCTATTAAAAAAGAACAGTGATTCTTTTCCTCTGAGCAATTTCTATGGTGTTGATCGTTAAATTACGCATCAAGACTACTGTTTTCGCTTGAATCCAATTTTTCAGTTAAAGTAATCCCCAAAAGTATCGCTTTTAAACTAGTGAAGTTTATCATTTGTACTTTACGAGTACAGATGCATAAAAACTAAAAACACTGGGACTTATTCCTCGACATTGAATATATCTTTGAGGATTATTTGCATCCATAGGTGCTAAGATCTTTCTGTAACTACAGAAGTCCCATTTTTAAATTTTTTGAAGTTCTATTTACATATAAACATAAAACAAATCTATGTCGCAATTGAAACATCGTTGTGGTGGACCAGCGTGCTATTTCCCGGGCGATGAGGGGATGCAATGTGATAATTACAATAAGTGGTATCACAATATGTGCACGTGACTCAAACCGGCTACATATGAACGGTGCTGTAAGCCATTATCATGTTAATTGTGTAAAGAACGTCGTTCTACCAAGTCTCTGCTGATCCTAAAGGCGGTCGAGCTGCTAAACATAGCTAGAAAATTGTCCTCTGATAAATGGGCAGCAGCAGATGAACAGAACCCTGCCTTCAAGAAAGTTGAGGGCGTCATCATGAGCTTAGCTCTAGATTTAAATTAGACCATAAAGGTATCTCCCATTGGTTTGATCTTTGTTCCTATGTTTATAAATAATTTTCCTGATTGGTTGATAAATTGGATTGATTTCAATGTGCTTGTTGAGTGCTGATTGACATGAGTGTCTAACTCTTAAAAATTCTCTGGTGTTTTTGGAATTTCCTCCATCCAAGGTCTCCAAATTTTTCCAGTCAAATAAGTTTCCTCAGTTGTCCACGTGCATTGATATAAGTGAGGGAATGTCATGGCGTTTGACTGTTGATTGATGTCCATGTAGGCGTCCGCTTTGTCCGATGTAGTTTCTTTTCGCGGTTGGCAAAATATATTTTGTAGACGATGTTTGGTTTGTCTTCTTTTAGCATTTCTTCTTTTGGTTGGAATAGGATTGATTGTAGTGTATTTGTCGTTTTGTGTGCAACGCTTATTCCGAATGTTTTCAACAGTCTCATTGTGCTTTGTGATATGCCTTTTTTGCGTGGAAGGGTGATCCTTTTGTTGATTTCTGTGCTTGACTTTGATTCTGATGATGCGTGCGGCTGGTATTTTTTGATGAAGTTGATTGGGTAGCCGTTCTTTTGAAATACGTCCTTCAGGTATTTCTCTTCATTTTTTCGTGCTGCCAGTGTGCTGCAGTGTGTCCTCGCCCTCTCGAACAAAGTGTGTACGTAGTTGATTTTCTGAGCTCTTGGGTTGATGCTATTGTATAGCTCTATAGAATAGAACAAGAGGTGGATTCTGAAAATCCTCAGAAGAGCCGCCTCTTGAAGGTTACATTTGCTACGGCTGAATAAAGAAACTTGATACTAGGTGATTCACGTAAACTGATTGGTTTCGGAATATATGTCCATGAGGATCTCAACCTAACTGATCGTATTAAGAGACGAGCTGCAGAAGTGGAAGTAAATGAGCGTCGTCGAAACGGTGGAAGAAACCTCGTCCTTAAGGGTGTTCAAATTGTAAACGTTCGGAGGGGAACGATCCTCAACCCACTTTGGGTGATAAGGGCAAGCTCTCTACGGAATTAAAGGTGTGTTACACAAATGCTCGCAGTTTACTAAATAAAATGGAGGGGCTCAAGATAATGGTGTGTAAAGAAAACTCGGATGTTATTGCTGTCTCAGAAAAACAATTAACGTCAGAAGTATTAGATAATGAAATTCGGTTGACTGGGTTTTTTTTATCCAGTAAGGCTGATAGACTTGTAGTGGTATTGGACCATAACCACACAATCCTCAAAGCTGAACACGAGACTACTCGGAACATAGATATTCAATATTTAACGCGGAGAAATACCTAACAATGGGGAAGGCGCGAACAAGGGGTTTAATGAATTGGGGTTGATTAGATGGCCTGGCTCGGCCATGCAGGCGCGGTCCCTGCGGAATGTTACCTTATATCTTTTATTCATATTAAACATATTGTTCTTTCTCTAGCCGAAGCTCGCTCACCATCATGTATTGGTAATTGTTACGATACAGTGAGTTGGTGTAGACGATGATGTAACTTCCACGTAAGATCTCATAGACTAGGCAGTTACATCATGACAAATCTACAATTTTAGGATTAGGTCTATTATTAGAGCAGTACTAATATCATAGTAGACCATAAGTCTACAGATTAAACCCTAGTGCAGGCGGAGTTATCCTGTGCACGAAAAGTACCCTAACCATACGAGCAGTTGAGACAGTGGCACATGATTCAGGGACTTGTGAACTGGTGCTATGCAAACTGAAATGTAGACGGCCAGATATTGGATTAGTTGTAGTATATCACAGTCCAGAATATGTAGTAGGTGATTTCCTCCTGAGCGAAATTAAATCCTGGTGTACTAGGAGTAAAATCCTTATAGTAGGCGACTTTAACGCACCGTATATAAACTGGGTTAATTTCGAAGTAAGATCATCGATAACGTCATTCGATTGCAAACTGTTAGAAACCTCGATTGGATTAGCTTTATCCAAAAACATTGAAAATCCCACAAGATATGACTTAAGAAACTCTTCTTCTGTTTTAGATTTAGTCTTCACACACGGTGATGATGTCGGCCAAATGACTTTTCCCCCACCACTAGGGAGAACGGACCATGAAGTCATATAATTCAAATTCATGGCTGGATTGCTTGTCAAACAGTTGCCGACGGCCCGATATGGGGGCAATCAACTCCTCCGCATCGGCTGAAAGCTGGAAAATTTACTCAAGGGTTTCAGTACAAGGGGCACGGACTTATTTCAAGCAGTTATACAGTGGGGTAACTCAACCATACCCACCCTGGACTGTCCCAAAGAAGAAGAAGCACGACCACCAATGGATAGGCCGGCATACTCGACGTTTACTAAGACAAAAGAAGAAATGTTGGAATGCTGCTATTAGTTTTGGTACAGCAGGTACTATGGGGCGCTGCAGATCGGTAAGAAACACGTGTATAATTGAAATTCGGGAAGCTCAAAGAAACTATGAAATGCAGTTGGCGCAACCTACACTCAAGCAGCCTAAGAAGATATTCTCGTACATAGACTACAGAACAAAGATGCATCATTGGATTCCCAACCTAATCAAAGAAGGGAGTGGATCTGAAATGATAGAGGCAAATCAGGAAAAAGTAGAGGCAATAGCTGACTATTTTGGGGCAGTTTTCACTCAGAAACCTCCTAAAGACAAAGAACCAGACACAAATACAGAGTCAACAAACCACCTTCTTACTTAAGGCTCTCAGCACCTTAGACATGAAAAAGTCGACAGGACCAGATGAACTACACTCCAAAATCTTGAGACATATTGCACAATATATTGCGGCACAACTGACTGTGATATTCAACATGTCACTTGACCAAGGTGTATTACCTATGGATTTGAAGGACGCACTCATCACTCGCATACATAAAACAGGACCGAGACAACTTCCATTCAACTCTAGACCTGTAAGCCTCACCAGTGTCGTAGTTAAAATATGGGAAAGCATAGTCAGACGGACCATAATGGCATTTATGGAAACCAATAACTTGCTAAACATAGAACAACATGGTTTTGGAAAGGGTCTGTCTTGTACAACGAACCTCCTTATAGCAAGGGAGTTTTGGATGAAGGCGCCAAGCAACGGAGACTTAGTGGATGTTGTTTACATAGACTTCAGTAAGGCTTTTGACAAGGTGCCAACTATTGAAGTTGGAAAACCTTGGTATTGCCGGACCTCTTTTAAAATGGATTAAGGATTTCCTAGTAGGTCGTAGACAGAAAGTGGGAATAAATTCCAAGTGCTCCATCTGGAGACCAGTACTAGGCGGGGTACCTCCAGGTTCCGTCCTAGGTCCCTTACTTTTTATGATGTATGTTAATGATCTTCCAAGTATAGTACAGTCTCCAATGTTATTATACGCTGGCGGTGTAAAGATCTGGGAACTAACAACTGGAGACACAGATACATGTGCTCTTCAGACAGACTTAAATAATGTGACTAACTGGTCTAAAGTGTGGCTGATGCCTATCAACGTGGCAAAGTATCTGTATACACTTTGGGGATCCAGTGGTTAATAGGTACAACACAGGGGAAGTGCAATTACCCGTGGTCCAGTCACATAAGGATCTAGGGGTGACAGTGAGTCATGGTCTTAAGACGACGGCTAGTTGCCGGGAGGTCGCATCTAAGGGGTTTCGAACCCTGTGGGCTTTAAAACGGACATTCACTAAGTTAGATACTACCATGTTCACCACAGTATACACATCCTTAGAGGAAACTGGGCTTGAGAACTGCATTCAGGCTGCAAGCTCCTGTTTAAAAGGTGACTCAGATAGCTTAGAAGAAGTATAAAGGGAAGCCACCCGTGCAATTCCAGAACTCCGGGGTTTACCATACAAAGAGCGGCTTTAAAAGCTGGGCCTCTTTACTCTGTCCTATTGCAGATCAAGGGGAGATCTAATTTTGATGTACAGAATACTGAGATGTGATTTCGGACCTAACTTCTTCTCTCTTTTTCTTCCCGCCAGATCGGGACATCTCAGAGGACATAGCAGGCGAGTAGAAAAGCCAAGGACGAACAAAATACCTGTGGCATACAGGTTTTCACACCGTCATCAATACTTGGAACCTGTTACCCGAAGCAGTGGTGTCCGCACCTTCAATTGACTCATTCAAGAGAAGACCAGACACTCGCAGATGCATAATAGAAAGGGAATGACATAGGCCATAAGTCTTCTATCCTTACCACGTAAATCTGAATCTGTACTTAGTGAGCGAAGTCTGTGTTTATTCAAGGTTCTAGAAAGTCACTTCTTAAAAGATCAAGTAATGAAGTAGTTGCATCTACAAACATACTTATGGGATATATCCCGAAGTGTGAAAAGACTAGTTATTTCTGCTTAACAAATTTGAAGTTTGGATACGATTAATTGGACGATATAAGGCTGTGTACTTTTTAAAGTTTATTTGCAGTTAATGCGCTCATGGATTCTTGCAACAATAAAGACTTTTATAATTGCTGTAGTTGTGCAACTTGCATTTTTTCTGAGTTAATAAAAATTGGTGAGTGTATCCTGAGTTCGTGGTGCACGGGCAACATCAAAGCTCTATTAATGAGTTTGATGAGTAATCCTTATTTGAATAAGTTACGAGATGATATTTGTAAACTTGTGGAGTTAAACAAGTCAAAAGACATTCTTTACTCTAAAATGAGGTTATATGGCTGTATGGATTGGAATCTTGCTAGTGACAAACGGAAGCTTCTTTCACCTCAACATATGGATGAAGTTGAGACCCGAGTTATAAATTACTTATCACTTTTACCTCTAGTTTATCAAAGGCTTTTTATTCTATATGTTTTGGTTGGTAGCAGTCCGTCTATGACAAGTTCGATCAGCTCTGAGCTTCACAAAAATTCACTACAAAAAGGTGATTTTAAGACTCGGGAATATGAATCTTCAATACAACTGCCATGGAATATCACCTCAAAAATTAAGTCATTTGTTAACAATCAAGAAAAAAAGGCTGCACATAAAACAAGAGGTAGCCCTTCGACCGAACTTCAATGTACGGTAAGATTTCAGAAAATATCTATAGTGTTATAGAAACATATATGGTTAAAATTCTGGAAACATAGCTCAAGTTATTTTGTAGCTCTCAATAGACATTGATGTACAGTGATCCGAAACTTTTGTTCTCGACAATGCGTGTGGTTGCTGATCTGGTTGCGGTCAGTTGTTCAGTTAATATGAACAAACTAGTTCATACATATTGAGGACATGACTTTTTTTTAAACAAATTGCTAAAATCAACCGATGCAGCAAGTTAAGTTAAGGAACTGAGGCTGTAAAACACTTGGAAGTAGTAGGGATACAGACTTTGATATGTGAACTAAGGAATCCTCAGATTTTGCCAACACGTACTTTAATAGTCACAGTTGGACCATGACTGAAGAGAGAACACACTGCACATACTTGACACATTTAACTGAATTTGAGACTTTATAGTTAGTTATACACAAAACTAACACTAATTTATACAAATGCTGAAGCACAGTTTATGGTCAATAGAAAACGTAAGATTTCCTTTTAAAGTGATTCTACTAAAGTATATGTAAATTCCTCTGACATCTTCAGAGATGATTGTTAGTAAGACCTCCAGATTCCTTATAAGTTCTTAAGCCAAAGCTTTGATAAAAGTCCAAAAGCTACTCGAAATCTATGACCAAGAATTTTGCCCAACAATGGCTAGATTTCAGTCTTAGTGATGATGGTATTTATTCGTTCTCTCAAATATTCACTCTCACTGATTCTTTTAAATTTTTATTCCCGATGTTCACTTTTTACTTCATTAAGTATTGTCATTTATACATTCCTCAAGACTCATCTTGTCAACTTCCCCTTTTGCTCTTCCATTGTGAGATGCTTCAACTTAGGCTAGAGAACTTTTTTTGCCAGCTTTCACCTTCTTTGCGGCTGTCTAACCATATGTTTGTAGTGCTACTGAATTTGGGTCTTTTATAGATTAGGAGGAACTTCCGGAGTTTTTTTACCATGATAAAAATGCTAGATATTTAAGAAAATATATTTCTTGCCACAACTTATTTTGGAGGCAATCCTTAGCTTGTCTTCCTCTGTTATTATATTCATCGCATAATATTGATTGCAGCGATTTCGTAGGCGTTTGAGTCACATATATCCCTAGAGGCTTCAGTAACCTGATTTTACTCTCTGAAAAGTTTGCAGGTAAATCATAATTATTCTTTTTCTGACATTTGCTGTTAATTTTGTACATGGTGATGGGTTTGATGGGGATTTCTTAACGAAATTTTGCATGTAGCCAAATACTTCAAATACCGCTACTCGTTTGAATAGTATTTGTATGAAGATCACCTTATATGTCATTGAATTATAGTTGTCGTATTCTTTGGTTTGATCATTTTGGACTGACCTTGATATACGTGAGTCTAAAGGTTCGCTGTGTTTGTTCTTGTGATCAACATACTCTCAAATAGTAGATCATTATTTGCCTCCGTTTTGACTGTCGAATATCTTGTCATTAAGGACACCGTTAATTAAATTTAAGGTAATTTTCATCTGAAACTTTTTGATGGTGGTGAATGTGTCGCTTGCACGGCGAATCTAAATAGAGTAAAGTATCAGAAAATGTATGGTAGCACATTACTATTAAGACATCTATGTAACATTAAGACTGTGACCTCTACCAGTTCTGTAAAGATTTGGACTACCGTTAATTAAATAATAATTATTTTACTTGATTGATCTTGAGGAGACCAACGGCCAAAGCAAATTAAGATTAAGCAGTTAATACCAATCGTTGTTGTAATGTGTTTGAACATAGCTCATAAAATGTTTACTTTATCATTTCGAATCTTTGGCTTTTCGTGTCATTGGTGTATTCCTTTTTATTAGTAATAAGTGGGTTAATAGAAGTCTGTCTAAAACTTTGTTAGGTCTTGGGTCATTTATAAATTATTAATTAGCTTCACTAGCATACACTATTGCTATAAACACCCCACAAACCTAATTTCACTTGTAGATGTTTCCAATTGTTAAGAGTAGCTTCGTAGTCCTTCCAATTAGTATCTGTATTAGATCTCACAAAGACGTATCTTAGAAGTCCAGAATAAGACATATATATTTGGCTGTTGTTACATTTGTCCGAGATTTTGCCATCAAAACTTTTAGTTCAGTTTATTTGTTTTCAAACTTCCTTGTTTTCAAAGACATACTAGCTTTTAAGATCTCGACACACAAACTCCGTATTATGTAGGTGGCTTTTCTCTTTTCCCATTGAAACTATAACAGGTGTAATACCCAGCTCATTTTCATTCCACCTATTCATTCAATAAAATCATTAAAACTTGGTAAATTACAGAATCTGTGAAACAAAAATGTTCTGTATTGGTCGTGTTAAAGTACTCCAGAAACCATAATTTTTCATATGGATATTCTTTAATATTTAAACGGACAGTTAAAAAGAAATTGTGCGCTGAGTATATCGAAAATAACATGTGTAAAAACTGTGCTTAAAGCAGTCTCATTGATTGAAACTTGAGTAATCCTAATGTTTCAACCAGCAAGCTTATTTAGATTTATTCAGGGTAATATGGAAGATCAAAGCTATCATACCACCGCATCTCTATGAACAAAGATGAATTACCGTTATTCGTACCTGGTAGTAATCATTCTATAGTTATACGTCAAATGAGTGGCAGAGTCATGGGAAATAATCGAAGTTCTTACCAAGGCCTTTGGGTATGGGTATTGAGTTTGTCTTTTATCTGATAAGACTGGATGAGATGGTGGGTGAAGGATTTTATCAAACTGTAGTTACTCGGCACATTGTTCTTTGTAGTACGGCTGATGCTGACTGTTAAACTTTGTTTGTGGTGTCTGGAAATTATTCTCTTTAAGCAGCACTTTTCATTAATTCAGTCATCTAATTGATACAATACAATGGTTGAAATCATGAGTCAATTGAACCTAGACCACCATGGAAAACCTGGAAACACTGGACCTCCGTTTCGTCCTAGTATGGGATCCCTCAATAGTGCGTATCCACGATCCCGCATCCCGCGAGATTCGAAACCAGGATCTATCGGTCTCGCGCTAGGCGCTTAACCAACCTCTAGTTTATCAAAAGTACATTTCGAGCCCAATACTATTACTGAATTAATCAGTAGCTTTTCGAAATCTCTGATAAATACTTGCTATGAAGCAGAAAAACTACACACCATTTGTGGTTTGTAACCTTTATTTTAGATCATTTACATATACACCCTACATTAGTTTGTAAGGAAGGAGCTAAATTATGATGAACTGACTGATATTGTTTTATTTAATTTTCAGTCATCACTGTTTCGAGTTGATCCACACTTTATGAGATACACATTAGTACCAGTTCCTGTATGCCCAATTCAGTTGAGAAGTAAAATTTCAGGTGAACCAAACTCTGGGTTATTTAAGGAACCGCGGGTAGTTACAGAGAGTAATGATAATACATGTAGTCAAGGGAAAAAAATGCATGTAAGTTTTTACCGAAAATTTGATCTATTTTGTTTTTATCGATTAAGAACATGGCTCTTATTGTTCTTATCAGTCATGCAAAATTAAGTAGTGGATAAAACTATGTAATTATTTTAATGGTGAGACTATAATTTATGGACGGTCTTTGAGTGACGCTAAAAATCAACCCACCATGTAAACAGTATGTATGAGTTTGATTGAACACATGTCTGCACCTCAATTTTTGTCTATCCTCCTAATGGTTGTTAAAAAAGACACTCAATAACTTACTCACAAGTGGTTAACACTCACAAAATATCTAAGGATATTTCGGCTTTTTACTCTCACTCGCTTCCCTGTATGCATGTCTTTTGCGTGCTTGCGGGCTTTATTAATCATTTGCAATACACTATTCCAACAACTGGTGTTCCAGCTCCTGAATATTCTCTGGTAAATTCATAGTAATACTGGGAGAACTGGCCTGCTAAAATACTTGATTAACGGTATACCGTCTATTGGGGTTAAATAAAGAGGAATAGGCCTCTACAAAAATTATAAACCATGTAGATGTTAAGCCTGCATCTTCACTTCAAGAAAGTGTCAAACTCCCAGCAGTTATCTGTATGTGTCAAAAATTTAAATGAGATGAAAAAGTACTCACTATTAGTTCATTTCAAAAAACAATGCTCAGGTTTTACGTGTCATATTATAAATGAATTAGTATTTTTATAAACAATGCTTTGATCTAGATTTAAACGATTTTTTGGTATATACCTTAGTGAAACTGTGGTTTGTTAGTTCATGGGTTTGGTTTTCAGAATCTTGATTACAGGTTTGAAAACTGATATGTTTATATTTCTTTTTACGAGCTAGAGTTTAAATAAATAAATCATCCACAAAGTATTTTAAATATCCTAGTTTCAGTAGCAATTGTTACTGGTATGTATAAAGTAACTTCATATGAAGTTTCGTCAAGAGCTATTGCCTGTCCCAAAACCCAGTTAATAAAGAGGGCGGGGCGTAGAGTTAGCAACCTCACATCGTATAAAAGAATTCTGCTTCGAACTCGCTATGTGTGAAGCGACTGAATTTCATTAGGGTGATTTGAGTCAGGTTTATTTTTATATTATTCATGTTACATATATTATGCGCTCTAATGACAAAAATTATGTTGGTAAACATAGGCGGTTATTTTTTCTCATAAAATATTGCTGGATTGAACAAAATGATAAATAGATACATCTAAAACTTCTGCAAATAAGCTGAATGTTTTATTGAAAATGGTCTTCGAAAAACTTGTAAAGTAGTATCACTTTTATATTTGACGAGGGTTTGATTCATTTGAATGATTACTAAAATTCAGGAAGGACTGTAACGTCTCATTTCGAGATTTCAATATTTCGATCTATCAAACTCATACAAGACAGAACCCTTGCATCCTACGTTTAGAAATGAGCAGATTTATGGTTTATTCAATACATATGAGTGAAATTTTCTAATACGTACATATTCATTCAGAGGAATATCCAATCATAGTAAGTGGCATTGGTGCTGAGTATTTTAAAGGTAGACTATCTTAGAGTATAATTCTTCTACTCATTGCCTGTGTAAAAAGAAAAGACTCCATATGAGGAGATGTCTTTTCTAGAGGACAAATAAGGTGAAATATGTGTGGTGTTGAATGATCTCAGAACCGAACAAAACGGCGATTTGTTATCGGTGGATAATCTGATATTATGTTAGAATTTATATTGGCTAATGATAAGTATATACAAAATTAAATGTCTAGTCTAGTTGACTTGTCCTTTTAAAGTTGAATTAAAAACATATTTTTCAGCTTATAAATAGTAATTGACTTCCTAAAGAATACTTTTATTTGACCTTGAGTAAAGTACTTAAAAATTGTATAAAGATTGTAACTTTCACTAAAGTTGAACAGAGAATTGGACTCTTTCTTTTTCCACCAAGAAAAAATCATTGAAATTTGCTCTAATTGGTGAATTATTGAAAATGTGGTCGATAATTTTTACTTATTGTTCCGAACAGAGAAGTTTTATTTTGATCTTGGTCATCTATGTCAAGGAGTATAAAAATTGATTTCATGGTTTTATCTAACATCGTATATGGTATATTCTATACAGTCGAATGATTGTATTTAGGATCCATTCTGAATCCGTGAACCAATGAAATTTAATGAATGATAAGGGCTACTGTATAGTATTAGACCTTTCCAGATGACCAATTCATGATTAATTATTGCGTTAATATTGCCTATCAAGCTTAGTTTCTCTACTCTTAGTGTAATTTGAAGATCTGTGGTACGTATGTCGTAGATTAGTGGATAGATCATATCCTAGACGTTTTGATATTTCTGCATTGATAGTAATTCTAATGTATTTGATGCAAGTATTTGTTCCATGCACATAAATTACTGTGTAACAGGTAATCTTATTTCTTCTTTTACCAAATTATCATGTACACTCAAAGATAATATTAAAAGCATTGGAATTATGATGTTAATTGGAAAAGTACTGTACAACTGCCGTAATAAAATATTCATATAAATTAGATTTCAAAAGTAATTAGATTTTTCAGTTTTCTTTCCGATACTTCTTGATTTCATTTTATTTATTGCTGTATTTTCACTTGGCTACAATAAATTAAACTAAATTGATTAAACTTAGAGATTTAGACTAGTGAATTCAAACATAATGATGTGAGAGTTAAAAAACTCACAGCCAAAACTGAAGGTAATGAATTCAATCCATGATAGAGTTTTGAGTGTTCACTATTCAGAAGTTTTATTTTAAGATGAAAAAAATTACCATCCAGTGCTTCCTGACTTACAGTAATTCTGTAGTTTGTATCAATCTATGACGAAAACAAATTTCGAACTCAGTCAAGGTGAACTAACTCACAAGTTCCTCTTTCATAAATAGTCAATCAATCATTTGTTTAAATCAATAATTTGTTATGAGGGAATTTTTCTATTTTTGTAAAACCATAGTCTGATTCATTTGATGATTGGAATGATTTGATACAAAAATCATGGGATTCAATATCGTATGAAATAAAACAAGCGTATAATAAGATAAAAATACGATATGCTTTGATGTTTGAAAGAAATATCTACTGTGGACCATTTAGCATTTATGTATTGTTAGAAAGGTAAGGACTTTATATGGGTAATATTCAGTATTGATAAAGTAAAAATGTAGCATTTTGTATTTTTGTTTTTTGTTGAGGAATCTTACCGTCTTGTTAAAAATGTGACTTAGATTCCATGTTATAAATAGGTGTTATCAGCTTCGAGACATTTGAATTACTAATAGCTGAGAAATTTACTGAAGAAGTCAAGTCAAAGCACATTTTTCCGACTGATCTACTCATTAGTTTATTGAAAATAATTGTGTCCTGTTCCATTGAAATCTGAAACAACGAATTCTATCTATTATATAAAGGATATATTAGTAATAATTAACAATGGGGTGTAAATTAAAACCTTTTTGTCTCCATTCGAGCTCATAAATAACGTTTTAGGCTATTCAGTATTGTTGTATGATTAAAAATGAATAGTATTGGGTTCAATGTAAAATTCCTGAGGTTCATTTAAGAGAGGAAATTAAAGTGGCTCACCAATTCAGTGGTCCGAAATCTGACTACATTTTGGACGAACATATGAATATACCATGAATACAGATCTTCCGTTTACTTCCTTATGTTACACTTAGGCTAACCCCATTTGAGTGATGGCGGTAGTAAGGAGCCAAACACAAATTAAGTTGGATTGCTTTATTTCATTCAACTGTTTACGCAGACATACGTTAAAATGAGAAGCAGGCAAACAAAGAGAAGCGGAAAAGGCAAGTGTGCCAATTCCCTTTGATAAGGCGTGATTTACAGTGATTTATAGTCAGATAAAAATCAGCTAAAGAAATAATGAACCGGGCAAACGATACACATGCGCTCAAATAAAAACAGTCACGTTATAAGCGAACAACTGACAAGTTCAAAATGTAACCTGCGATGAATAACTGGTCTGTCCGAATACTAGAATAGTCCATGTAGGCGTTGCATGGTACCAGACCCCACACAACAAACTCAACTATAAGAATAAACTTTTATTTCGTTTTATAATCGAGATCGTAACATTTGAATTGCAAAATTTTGCAAGACTTTATATTTTTGGCAAATGTCTGACTCCTTTATAATCAGACAGTATTTACGCTAATGTAATGTATATTCTACTTGACTTCTTATGTATTCCGTCGATTTAGCACATTTAGAACAACTGTATATCAAAAGTCTAATACGAATTATATTTAAGGTACATATATTTCAGGCATACTAGTATGTTGAATGACAGATTAAAGATCCAGAGACTATATACGTCATTGAAGTTCGCTAATAGACCCACTAAGAATAGTAAGGTAACTTAGTTTTTATAAATCTTGTAAGAAATTCAAAACATGAATAAACACATACATACTATCATAAAACCACAATCAGGGTTACATGATTAATTGACAAAGTCAATTAAATGAGTGACTGAATAAATCGGAAGATTAGAATTGTGAAAGAGTTTTGACCATAAAAATGATGAATAAAGTTAGAAAACTAAGTAATTGTAACGCTTAACTTTGTCAACAGATTTACATTGTAGAAAAAAAAACTAGTATTTGATAATATAGAAAGTGTGATTCGATTATCTATGTCTGAAAGGGTTTTGTGGAGATTTTAGAAATTTCACTGGTTGAAATCATTAGTCAATTGAAACTAGACCGCCATGGAAAACCTGGAAGCAATGAACGGCCGTTTCGTTATAGTATGGGACTCCTCAGCAGTGCGCATCAACGATCCCACCCCGCCCGATTCGAACCCATGACCTATCAGTCTCGCGCGCGAAACTAGTAGGTCCTGGGTTCGAATCTCGCAGGGGTCGAGGTCGTGGATACGCAATGCTGAGGGGTCCCATACTAGAACGAAACGGCCGTCTATTGCTTCCAGGTTTTCCATGGTGTTTTAGCTTCAATTGACTCATGATTTCAACCAGTGAAATTATCTATGTCTGTTCATTAGATTTATGTATATATTTCGACATCTTTTTAGGAATAAAATAGGACATTATATTCATTGAATGTTTCATTAAAACAACTTACTTTTGTTACATTAATTCAATGATTTAATTATTATAGGCAACCAAATCAACCATTGTGCAAACGACGTGTAATACATGTAGATAACAGAAGTCATTGGTTAGCTCATTGTGAAGGACGATCTCAACAACGTACAATTAAATTTATAGATATTACTATGAAGTCATTTTGTGAAAAATCTTCATCTAATTGCATTCATAAACAAAATGGTAATGTTAATCAATCCGGTAGTACTGCTGAATTTATGTAAGTAACTAGTAATTATTAATTACAAATTAATTATAAATAAAAACATAGTCACTAAAAGAGAGCATAGAGAATGTCTAACTGTGAATAAAAAGCCTCTGTATATTCGCTTATAATTCAGAGATGATGCACTGAGTGAAATTCTAAGACTGAAGTTCATCAGACCTGTTATTATTATTATTATCTTTACCATTATTATTATTACTATTATTATTGTTATTATTATTATTACACTTGATAACCTTTTTGAGGAATTTATTCAGCATCCATCCCTATCTACTATATCACCCCCAAATGCCCTGGTACGGCCGAGAGTGGGGAGAGTCCGCTACCCCTCTCGAAATGCTCTCACATGGTCACGCGTATATAGCCTATGCCAGGGAAGTCCTACTCACTGCATTGTCGTGACGGGGGTGTCGTTTAGGAAATTGAGAGGACGGAAAGCGAATGTCCGGTGCTTTAACCGGGTTGGTGGACATGTAGAGTCCACCTAGGGGAGTTGGAAAACCCTGATTCCAAACCAATGGTGCACATGGGCTCCAGTATTCTAAAGGAAAAAATAGCGTATGAACCAATCGTTGGTCACCAGCTACCATGGGACTGCATCCCCTTACGATGCATCACTTACTTGTGGATCAGACCTTCAGGTCGAAGGCTCCGGGTGTGGCCCCCTAAGAAAACCACCTGCTTCGGTCTGAGCACTCGGGCAGTATCACAGCCTTTACACATATCAAATGAGATTTGCATGGCGCATATCTATTTGGTGCCTCCTTGTACCAATATCTATGTGTTAAAAATAAAACAAATAAATAAAATCTACTATATCTGACCTAATTCATATTATTCCACATATTACGTACTTTCTGATTTGTATTGGATTATCCTCTCTCTCTCTCTCACCTAACGTTGACCATATTTATTCTGACCATTTATTCTTACCATTTCATTTCACTTATATACTGATTCAAGTCGACAACTTCACATTAGTCAGCTTCAACATTAACGATATGATTCAATTTGATATAACAAACAACCATCCTTGATTCACATATTCACAATTTGGAATGATGTACTCTGCTTTAAATCTGACTAATTTTATGGATTATTCATTTGGATATCAGATAATTATCGAGTACCTGATGAGAAATTCATTGGAATGAATATTCTTCATTCATATCATTGTGTTTTGCATATAATGGAAATATTTTTGAGCGATTAAACTTAACAATCATTAAAATGTTCTCCCTTTTTTTTGTCTTCTTTAATACTATACAATCAATTTTATATTTCTATTTGAATATATAGGGCCCATTTAAATCGTGTTTGGTTAATTGGACATGCTGGAAGTGTAAAAACATTATGGTTAGATATTAAACTTCAAATTTTATTATCAGGTAGTTATGATACAAGTATTCGTTTATGGAATCTATCTGATAATAATAATAATAATAATAATAATAATAATAATAATCAACATTGTTTAAATCAACAAACAAATCTATTAAATCCTATAAGTTTTAGAAATAGTCGATCAAAATGTATTAGAATATTTCATGGTCATACAGATACTATACTTTGTATTTGGTTAGATCAAACTAAATTATGGTCAAAATATAATAGAACATCTGAAAAACGATCATATTCATCTTATCATTCAAATAATAGACATAATAATAATAATAATCCAAGTGATGATGTTAAAAAAGAAGGATTTCAAGGTACATATCAATTTGCAAGTGGTTCAGTTGATTGTACATGTTGTAGTAAGTTGAATTCATTTATATACAACTAATAAATTTTGGAATAGTAACATTATTTCATATATATATATTTACTTACTTACATCCGTTACTCATCATGGAGGAGCATAGACCTCCCACCTGCATTCTCTATCCAACCCTGTCATGGGCAAAGCTTTCCAGCTCTTTCCCGTTGTTGTTCATCCTTTTCATATCTGCTTCTATTTCCCGATGTAACGTATTCTTTCGCTTCCCTCTTTTCCGATTCCCTTTAGGATTACAAATTAGCGCTTACCTCGTGATGCAGTTTGGTGATTTGCGTAATGTATGTCCTATCCATTTCCATCGTCTTTTCCTAATTTCCTCTTCAGTTGGAAGCTGATTTGTTCTCGCCCACAGAAGGTTTTCGCTGGTGGTATCCGGCCAATGGATTTGAGTATCTTGTGTAGAAAGCTATTTATAAATACTTATACCAATTTGATGATGGTTGTTGTAGTTCTCCAAGTTTCAGCTCCATACAGTAGAACTGTCTTGACATTGGTATTGAAGATTCTCACTTTGATATTGGTTGAAAGTTGTTTTGAGTTCCATGTGTTCTTCAATTGTAGGAATGCGTCCCTTGCTTTGCCAATCCTTTCCTATATGTCTGTATCTGATCCTTCTTGTTCATCGATGATGGTCCACAGGTGCGTGAAGGATTTCACATCTTCCAGAATTGGAAGGGTTGGTGTTCTCCGTGTTGTATTTGAGGATCTTGTTTTTTCCTTTGTGCATGTTCAGGCCTACTAATGCAGAGGCTGCTGCCACACCAGTTGTCTCCGTATGCATTTGTTCGTATATATATATATGTTTATTCTTTCACAAGAGTTTACAAGTATAGAAATAAATTTTAAAAAATAATCGATTTCGGATATGCATTTTTTAAAGCCAGATTATTCAACTAAGTGATTTTAAAAGCTGCTTCTTGATAACGAAGTGTTCGAGAATAGAATTATTCGTCGTTCTACATTCATCGTTGAACAAATATACAAGATACTGCTTTGGAGAATAGAAAGTTTTTCTTAGTAATTTCATTAATGGGCTTTTGAATATTTGCTATGGTACCACCTATGACCTCAGAGTTCATGAACAAGGTCTTCTTACATTATTGTAATTGTCATTTACACTTGTTGTTTGAGCTTCAGGTTTCTGTCAGTGTACAAGATAGGGTATAAATTTTAAGCGATTAGTCGATATGATTATCCAAAGATGAATGAATAAATGGGAAACGACTAGGAAGTTATTACCAAGCATTCGAGTGTCAGATTGATCACAAAAGTAAGTTTGAATTGATCGATTAATATTATTAGGTTTCATCTAAGTAGCCAAAACATAAAGACATGTAAAACTTGATGCAAGTGAGGTGATAAAAATGAACAGGCACCTATTAGTTGAACATCAAAAACCAGTTTACAACCATATCTCAAAACACTAAGTTTTGAATAGATTTAGATTTTCTTTATGTTGAATAATAGTCCTGAAATATCAACTCTGCAGTACAGATACATCCTACTGACAAGTTTAAAATAGGACAAAACACACGTCCTGGATTCCACTGTTAACCATCATTCAACTCTATAATTAGAAATAATGATTTCATCTAACAATGAATAGGATAAAATACTTTTTATGTTTACTCTTCTAGTTCATTATCTTTTAAAGGTCAAAGATGATTTAGTTCATTTAAAGTTATTTTCAAGTATTTAGATTTCTTCAAAGTAGAAAAGCATCCTTTTATTATCTTGTATAGTTCCCTTCTAGTATAAAATATTATACTTTTATTCAGTATTATTTTAACAATAATCCAATTAATAGTATTTGATATACTACTTAATAGATTTTTGTTAAATTAAATGATCTTTTTTGTTATGCTTGTGAAATATTTTAAAGTTTGGAGATTAGATGAACAAAAACCATTATGGATTATGAAACATTCAACTCCAATCACATCAGTAGGCTTAAGAGGATACATTTGTACAACTGGTGAACATAGTGGACGTATAAATGTATGGAGAATTGGTAATAAAAAACCAATTTTAATAAAGGTTAATATTACATAAAATAATGAATACTTACAATCATATTTATAAAATTAGTTAGTTATTAGTTTTTAAAAAAGATTTTTATCATTCTGCATTGAATGTATGAATAAATACAACTGATTACTGCATAAACTGTAACAATAATGATAATTTTTGTTGTTGAAACTATAATAATCGAATAGAAAATGAATAAATTATAAGCAAAGATGGATAATGATTAGCAGTGGGATACAGGACGGGGGTTTCGTCCTATTTGCGACTCGTCAGTACCTGTCAGGACTCAATAGCTGAGTGCATAACGCGATAGCGTTTGAAGTGAACAGTACTGGGCTCGAGTCTCAGAGTGAACATCAACTATGAGATGTAGGTACATTCAGCTGACCAGTCCCAAATAGGATGAAACACGTGTTTTAAATTCCACTACTAGTCACTATCCATCTTTGTTTATAATGCTTTTGAATTAAGGCAATATCGAGGTGATCCGCACAGTATGCATATATGCTAATAAGAGAGAGACCGATCAATCACAATCCTAAGCATTAATGGGAAGATTCAAGTAAATAATACCAAGTGAATTTAATGAATACATTACTTTGATTTTATTTATAATCTTCATACCAGAGTACCGTCTAGTTTTAAATGGTCCTCCAGATAATAACACTGCGATAATTAACTCAATAAATAAATAAATAATAATTTAGTTAAATAATTATACTAAGTGTTGTAAGTAAAGTTGTACGCTATATTTAATCGGTACAAAAATAAGCACTGGTATAAGATACAATTTATAATATTTTTTTCTCTCTCTCAGGTATACTTCGATATTACGTTAATTCATTAAGTAGACTAATCTCGTTATAGAAGAAGTAGGTTTCATTATACAAAATAGAGAACCAGATTCACACTAGACAATACCTTATCTAATACAATTACAATCAATCAAACACAGTGGGTTCGGAGTAGAAATCAAGGAGAGGGATGAGAATCACATATTTAATAGTCAGTTGGCTAAGTGCCTGCTTGTTTACACTGAACGATCAATCACACTTTACTTTCGCTACCAAACAATTACACTGATTTAAATTATTTATGTCTTCATTTTACATGAAATGATAAACCCAACAAAAAAACAAAGTAAGGGGTTATGGAGATTACTAAGTTTTTGATTGAGATCATGAACCGGTTGATATTAGACCACCGTTGCAAACCTGGAAGCACTGGAAGGCCTCTTCGTCCTATTGTGAGGCTCATCAGCAGTGCGCGTCCACAACTTCGCACGCGTGACTCGGATCCGGGACCACCGGTCTCAAGTGCGAACGCTTAACCTCCAGACCACAGAGCCGTCATCCAGTTTGAGCCATGACCAGTGGAGTCCAATCCGTATCGAATGTGAAACAATCATCCACCTCAGACAATGAATGAAAGGTTATGCAAGATCATGGATCGATTAAAATTAGTCATTAACACCGTTGGTTATTGGCTCAGTGATCTAGTGGTTAAGCGTTCGCGCGCGAAACCAAAGGTCCTGGGTTCGAGTCTTTTGTTTGGGATCGTCCGAGTAGTCCCATACTAGGACGAGACGGTCATCCGGTGCTTCCAAGTTTTCAACGGTGGTGTAGCTTAGATCGAATCGCAAATTCAACTTTGAAAACATTAGAATAATATTCTACGTTGATCTACATGTGTTATACTGAAAGAATAACGTGTTACAAACTTGAATAATATGCAGAAAAGATAATCAAAAACGTTTTTTGATGATACACAGTTGAATTCTGTTTTATTAACATCATTATTATAACAGGTATTGACTGGTCATACTGATGCTATTACAGCGTTACGGTTCGACAACTATCATTTAGTCACATCATCCAAGGATAAATCTGTAAAAATATGGTCTATAATTGGAGAATTCTCCGACTGTATAGGTACATTAGTGCATACTGGGTAAGTGGATTGTAACAATTAGGGTGCTTTTTTATTTAAGTTTTCTAAATCTTCACTGTGATCAAATCACGGTTCTTTCTTTATATTAAACCTGAAAGTGATGAACGGCAGTTTTGTCCTAGTTTGGGACTCCTCGTCAGAGCTCATCTACGATTCCACATGCGGGAATGAAATCCAGTGTTAATCTCTGTCGAATCAACCAATTATAATTGAGTTAAACACGCACCGCCTAAGGCCCATTTAATCCCAAACCAATTATTAATATGAATCTCTTAATTTAACTATCAATGATGAAGTTGCACCAGTTAAGTAAGAATGACTAATCCCTGTTTTTACTTCATTATATTGTATCCCTGATGCTACTTGGTATAAGCGCGTTTATTTTTCTCTTTGTAACTGACTATTACTTTCCGTTTTTGCACTAATTGTATTAAATTAGATTTTAAGAACAGATCATATTTGTTGGATATATACATAGCTATTTGTTTTGATTAGAGCCCTGCTAAGACTTTATGTGCGACAGTATAGGTACTTACTCAAGAAATTCATTCGTAGGTAATTCATTCCTACACCCATGACCTTCGGTCTTGCTTACGAAAGCTTAACCTCTGGATTAATATGTTTAATTTATGAAGAAATTCAGTTGTATAATGAAATGTACTCTATATAGCAAGGATTATGACTTATAACTCTGAACAATTTGGAAGTAATAAATGTTTAGAAACTAAAAGTTAGTAGCTAGTAAGGCGTAGAATAATTACACAAATAATTGGTAACAGACACTAACTTAGTTCAACAGCGTATTCGTAGATGTCATTACGAAATAAGACCGGGCTGAAAATTGTCTAAAGTCATGGAGAACTAGACAAATGATTCATCCAGGATCAGAAATTCGATAGAAACCAGGACATCCAATTTTTGAAGGTTTGTTTTAAATGAACTCAGTTGATTTTTATGTGACACACAATATATAAGTTCCGTGATGATAAACTTTTTCAATAATGTATGCATTTGAGATCTATAGGAAAATCATATTGTTACTGTATGGTTTGAATTTCCGTTGTCTATTACCATAGTCTAAGTTGTCAGTATTGATTTACTTAGAAATATGTTGAGATCATGAGTCAATTGAGGCTAGACCATCATGGAAAACGTGGAAGCACTGGACGGTCATTTAACCTTTAATTATTCAATACGAACTTAACAGTTACATAGTTTGCCAACTACAATATACATATTGATAAAAGAAATTCAGAAAGTAAGGAAAACTAAAGTATATAGTCAATTTATGCATTCTGAAATAATTTGTTCATTTATACTCCAAATGAATATCAATAATTTTGTTCTCTTATTTAGTGAAGTGTTATGTGTTGAATTGATTGATTTAAGAATTATAACTGGTTGTTCAGATGGTCGTATACGTGTATGGAATTTATTAACTCAACACTGTCAAAGAATATTACCGGGAAATTATCGTCATGATCCAATTATAAGCATTATGCCATTGGAAAATCGGTATATTTTTAGTTTATGTTAATATTTATTGAATCTTTCATAAACATTGAAAGTGTATACATTTTTATAAAACTATTATCATAAGAAAATTCAAGTTCAATAAACATCCTATTGTGGGACTCCTCAGAAGGATGAAGCGACCGTCCAGTGCTTCTAGTTTTTCTATGGTGATCTAGCTTCAATTGAACAATAATTAGTTAGAACTAAAAATGATGGCCCATTACAGGATGGGTTGAAGAATGCTGATCGGCGGCTTATGCTCCATTGGGAGTAACAGGCGTAAGTATGTAAGTAAATTTTAATAGCTTTTAGTTTCCCATATAGATATTATAACAAGGATATTTAGAGCTTAAGAGTTAATATTGTCATAATCCTTGATCGTAATATTATAGGGATTAACTAAAGACATAGAATTCTGTGTAGACTATAATTCTGCTTTTTTACTAATAATGGAAATATATTCAATCTGGTTACTTACTTACTTACGCCTGTTACTCCTCGTGAAGGAGCATAGGCCGCTCACCAGCATTCTCCATTCAACCCTGTCCTGGGCAATCCTTTCCAACTCCTCCCAGTTGTAATTCATCCTTTTCATATCTGCTTCTATTATCCGACGTAATGTGTTCTTTCGCTTTCCTCTTTTCCGATTCACTTTAGGATTACAAGTTAGAGCTTACCTCGTGATGAAGTTTGACGATTTGAGTAGTGTATGTCCTATCCATTTCCATCGTCTTTTCCTAAGTGAGTCTCCCTTCCAGGGTTTGTTAATAGTATGTTTTATACTGATATTGTAGTGAACGAAAATACACATGTGAAGACTAATCGATTGTATTTCAACATGCATATTACAGAACATCATAGTAAAATCTGAGAACCATATAGTAAATACTTTACTTTTAAAATTGTCAATGAATCATCTCAAACTTCATTGTTCCTTTGTTTCCACAGCAATCATTCTTTGTTCTCACCCCCATTTTTCTTCAATCTTCTTAACTTTCTGTCACCAGTTAGTTCACTTTCAATTGATGATCTATACTACTTATATACCTGTTGACATTAGTAGTACATAAAACAGACAATATCTTTTGATACTCTAAAATAATTTCATTAAGTTAATTTCATAAGTATTTGAGCTCATACTCATTAGTTTCTTTATAAACACAACAAAGCCATTCCAAAATCACATTGCACTTTAGTCCGTCGTATGAGTTCCGGATAATATTGACAATCTTCTCAGGAACTCCGTAGTGTCGAAGAAGTTTCCATAATGTCTCAAATCAGTACAGAAAAATGCATAAAATAATTCATTACTATTGTATACAATAAGATTCCAGATTAATAAGCTTACGGTTTCAAGCTTTTACAATCTTATTAGATTGAGTCTAAAGTAAACAGTTTGAATGTTGTTGTTGTTATTGTTATTGTAATGATCAATTTGGTAGTTAAGAGAATGTTACAGTCATGTTATTTCCTCCTCCCAAATCTTTCTGAATAGAAGGTAAAGCATGCTTGTGGTTACTTCGACGTCTGATTTCAGTGCTTCTGATGATATAGTTGGATTCATGAGTCAATTAAAACCTTGAAGTATTTGACGGCTATTTCATTCTAGTATGAAATCGAAAGTGGTGGGTTCAAATCCTGAGAATGTGATTGTGAATGCGCAATCCGCTGAAGTATTCTACCCATCTGTTTCGCTGTTGTTGAATTTCAGTGATTGGCTTGCCTTCTTTATTCAATCTGGTAGTTCATTTGAAATCAGTAGTTCATTGGAATTTTTATGAAATTTACCATAGTATGGCATTAATCCATATTGACGAATTTTAAAATAGTACAGATCAAGTAGAATATTAAAAAAAATGAAATGGAGTACGCTTGCGTTGTACAGTAATTGAAAATACACTGATGTGTGATATGGTGAGTAAATCAGCAGTAGCTAAATGAGTAAGTCAATCGATGGCAGTCAGAAGTGATTTAAATGTCAAGTACATTTCATTGGGGTCAATTTTCTAAGGATAGAGTAGTATTTATATGAATGAGTATTTGTACGTTTTATTCGGTAGCCTAACACACTGTCTCGGTCACTCTTGTGTTCTAGCCCAAGTAGTCAGTTGAGGGGTTATCGTGTAGCACGTCGAGTATCAGTATCAGATTTCGGACACCTCCTGGTACGGCCAAGAGTGGGGAGAATCAGCTCTCCCTCTCCAAATGCCCTCAAATGTTGCCAATTATAAGTTATAACGATTTCTCTGAACACAAAGACAGTCATTATTAAAATGAGAAGACTTAGTTTCTTGATAACATAATCATACGATCTCTTAAACCTTGTTTGTTTTTTAGTGATCATCACTCTTAAAAAGTGGTTTTTAGGTAATATATAATACATATTCTATTTTTGCTCATGTAACTACATAATGTCGTCAAATGATCCAACAGTTTTACTTAAGAATTACATCGTTGAATATTCATATTAATCCTTCAATGAATGAATTAGCGAATATCGATGCTACAGAATAATCGGTGATTGAATTCTATGTATGTTTTTCATGTAAGAAGCATTAGGTAAACTTTTTTTAGCCTTATAATCACTTAAAACATAATGCCATGGCATAAAGATTAACATGTATATGACTTTTGATTACTTAAACAAAATTGTCTTTGAATTATAAGCAAAGATGGATGGTGTCTAGCAGTGGAATTTAGGAAGTACGTTTCGTCCATTTAGGAACTCGATAACCGGACGTATCTGTATCCCGGAGTTGATGTTTACTCCAGGACGCGAGCCCTGTAGGACGAGACACGTGTCCTAGATTCCACTGTTATCCATCATTGATCTTTGTTTATAATGTTTTTGATTTAAGGTAATATCGAGGTGATCCGCACAGCGTAATACGCTTCGCGTTGTTCGAAAATGGGAGATCCGCACAGTATAGAATAGGTCTAACAAGCTGTCTAGTGAACCCTAGTCTAAATCTACACAACAACTTCAAAGGATCGTTCCTTTACGTACAAAATATTTAGGGTATTCATAACATTTTAGATAGCTTTAAATTTTGATACTGTAAAATGGGAATATCATGAATCAGTTGAAGATAAAGCCGAAGAATTTTGGCTTAAATCAATTAAGAATAAATCAAATCAACAGAATAACAATTCATTACACTCTAAGCCTAGTTATGCTGAGTCAAGATATATTAGATCATGTATGCTCATTGGATAAGATGTTTCTCAACGTTTTCAAAGCATTTTTGTGGCTCATTTTACCGAAGAATTTATCTTATAGTCTATGCAATCTTGCTTGCGAGTGATTTTTTGTGTTGTTTTAATCTATCTGAGATAAATAACAAAAACAACTTGACTCTCATTGTTGAAGTACAGGTAATTATAACAATACATTTCGGTTGACTAAGGTTTCTACATACGTAATTATATCATTTAAACTAATTCTGCAATAATACCTGTTAGGATTCCCTAATCGACTCAGCTGAGGACAACCGAATTATTATTGGTAACACACCATTACAGAGTTACTTGGTAAAATAAAAAAAACCATACTTTAATACTTAATTTGCAAAATGTTCAATAATTGTCTCGAACTTCGTTGTTCTTGCGTTTCCATATTAATTGCTTTCTATTCCCGTCCTTCCTTTCTTGATCGTCCCCATCTTCTGCCGCCAGACATTATATTCTTGACTTGCGTCATATACTACTTATATCAATATAAGTTAGCATTAGATGAATCCAATTTCTAAATTTTGTTCTGCTAGTTATTTTGATTGTTTTCATTTTGATTACTGTTATGTTCCTGTAAAAGTTAGTTTGCGTTTCTTATAATATGTGAAACCAACCTCTAGTTGAGTCAAAAGATAAGGAATGAATAAGAATATGAAATGATTCATGATGAAACAGATCTTTAGTATATAGATATATGAATAGCAATGAGTTATCATTGCAAAAATGTCCCATCTATTTGTGTCATTAGCAATCCAAGTATAATATTCAAATCAAAATAGTTTTACCTGAATCAGAAAAACCGGAATAGACCATGGCATGTAAAGATTACGTCTGGTTAGGTATATATCCACACATTTTTAATTATTAAACAGAATGAGATATAATTCAATTGTTTACATATTGTTTTGGGTTTGTGGTGATGTGTATACCTTAGTTTTTCCATGGTGATATTGAGTGCCGAAAGTAGTTATCACGTACCAACATGGTTGGTATCAGCAATCAATATTCATTTTTTTCATCTTGACTCTACACTCAAACTAATGATAAGCTTATTTGGCTATTGACGAGTTAGAATTCTACTGACCACACTTCTAATATCTGGTCAGCAGCATCTCCAATCTTATAGATGAATGATTGTGACTTGAATGCCGAAGATGTTATCAATCGCCTTAGCACTGCAGATACGGTTTGTTGGATACCATTAATCTAAATAGACTTACGTTTTTTTTTAAAAAAGGAACATTATTATTTTACTGGTTTATTCTAACCGAGTCAAAATCAATATAATTACATAGATGGAAGTAAAAATATTTTGGTTGATAGTAGGTGATTTTTACCCCAGGACTGAAACTTAATGCCGTTCACCTACAACCACCTACATCTTATCTACTTACCTATAATTAATATATATTAGTCTTAATTCATCTTTATCAATATTACTTATACAATCTCGATTAGTTCTATTCAATAAATCTTTTATCAAACTGGACAGAAATGAAGCGAAAGATAGATGTTTATTATTTATTGAAATTAAACTACTCTAAGTTAAAATTCACTTGGAATTGTTTGTTTGAATCTTCCCATTAATGTTTAGGACTGTAATTGATCAATCTCTTATTGGAATATGTCCATACTGTGTGTATTTCTTTGATATAGCTTTAATTCACTAGCATTATATACAAAGATGGATATTCGCTAGCAGGACTCAGTAGATAAGTGGATCAAGTGATGACGTTTGAAGCAAACGGTACTGAGTACGAGTCATACAGTGAACATCAACTCTTAGATACAGGTTTATCCAGCTGACACGCCCCAAACGCACGTCCTGTATTCCACTGCTAGACACTATCCATCTTTGCTTATTGTAAGTTAGTGCTTATTTTACAATTATGTTAAAAATCATCTAATTTATGAGAATGTTTATATTGTGAATGAATCACGATATTAATTAATTGAGAAGTTCTATTTATTTTTCTCTCATATTTCGTTTTCTTTTCTTTTTCTCCCTAAAATTTATCATAAATATAAATTGTGATGTCGTGTGAATGAATAATTTATATTATCAGAAAAAAAAAGGGGGGGAATTTGTGAAAATTATAGTAATTTAATAATTGAATTCATGTGTCCCTTTTTGAGTAAAATCATCATGTGCTCACTAATGACTGATTTCAACAGGTATATCCTAGAGTTCTAATTAAGAAGACGTGACCAGTAGAGTTAAACCGTGTCTATTATGAGACAGTAACCAATTGAAAACAATGTTAAATGCTGGTTTAGTCTCATGGATTAGTTGAAGTTAGATATTATCATCATTGGATGCCGATTCACAAATGAGACCGAAGGTCCTAAGTTCGAATCCCACAAGTTGGATCGTGGATATGCACTGTTGAAGAGCTCATCATAGGACAAAATAGCTGTGCAATCCTTTCAGATTTTCCATAATAGACTCATGAATTTAACCATAAATTACTTTATAGATTCACTATTATAATAGTAAATGAATTATATATATATATCATACGAGAAATTAAAACAAGTACTTCATTGTGTAATCATTACATTGAATCAAAAACAGAAGTAATGTTGAACTAGACTCATAATGAGTAAATCAATCGAATTTCGATTTTTCTTCCCGTCATATCACCTTCCCTTCTTTTTTTTTGAAGACTTAAAGTTTAGATTGTGAATTTATCCTCCCCCACGAAATAATGTTGGGTCCTTGTATTCCCAAGTTACAGTTAGTGTGACTCTATTTGAAACAAGACATATCACTAACATAAACATATTGATTTTAATGATGAATAATAAAGGAATTTTCTTACTAGCTATTAATAGTATTTAACTATTATAAACAAAGATGGATGGTTTTTTGTTGTTGTTTGTTTGTTTGTTTTAACGTAACTGGGTGAATGAACACCAGGTGTATCTGTATCCCGCAGTTGATGTTTACTCCAGGACGCGAGCCCTGTAGGACGAGACATGTTTCCTGGATTCCACTGCTATCTATCATTGATCTTTGTTTATAATGCTTTTGATTTAAGGCAATATCGAGGTGATCCGCAGAAAATTCATATATGCCAATGAGAGACTGATCGATTACGGTCCTAAAAATCAGTGAGAAGATTCAAATAAACAATACTACGTGAATTTAAACTATTATATTTGCTATTTTTTTTGGCTTTCAAAATGATAGTAGTTTGATGCATATTAAGAGGACCCATCTCAAAAGGAATCATATCTATGTTAGATATTCACTGAAAACTAAGAAACATTGGATGGTTACATTTTTTGTCTTAGTATGGGATCTTTGAGAAGTATGTATCCACTACTCTGCCACAAGAAGTCATTTTAATTTACATATATGTACATTAAAATTCTATATTGTACCAAAATATAATATTGAATAAAGCCATTAATAATAATAATAATAATAATAATAATAATAATAATTTTCGCGCTAAAATCCAAGACCTGTTATCTTAAATCTGATTGATTCATCCATAACTTGTAGTCTTGCCCCTATTTGTTTTTTACTAACATTCTGTATATTCTGTAAAACATTCTAAGCTAACTGAATTCAACATTTCAGTTATTGGTTTAAGTCCATTAGAGATTATCAATATTAACAATATGAATAAATCGTTTTACTATTCATATTTTTTTTCCTTTTTTATAATACTCTCTAATACTACTACTAATACTACTGCTACTAATACTACTAATAATAATCATACCAATATTATTGATTATTCAAAGTTATTAACAAATCAATATTTCTATCAATCATCTTATGATATTAATCAATTTAAATATTATTTATTAAAACAAATTCATTATTTAAAAAGAAATCAATAAAAGATACTTATATTGATCTTGATATAAAATATAATAATAATAATAATAATATAGTAACTAATTATAATGAACTAGATCAATTAGATATATTAATCAATGATAATTTCAATAAATCATATCAAACGAATTCATCACCAAATTCATAGAAGTAGCTAATTCAGTGGTAGTAATATATAAAACAAAGATTGCATATAAGGATACAGTGCAAGAATTGAAAGAAGATAATTCGTAGAATGTAAAATTTAAATTCTATTCAATTACCAAATCTTATTGTAAGTTAGCAACAACAAGAATTTTTTTTTGATTGATTCTGAAACATGTCACTCAGAGTCTCCAACAATTGGTTACAAGAGTCAGACGTAATCCAATCAAGTAGTCAGCATTGACTGACATAGCTCACATCAGAAGTTAGGAACTTCACAACCCCTATGGTAGCAAAAAAAGTTTTATTCGATAATCTTTTTATAAATTTAGTTTATACAGATTTCTTCCATTCGTTAAATATTAGTCAATACAAATTAATTGTACGTCGTGGTAATCAGTGTTCAGGCATAAGTAACACGTGATCCAACCATCTGATTTGATGAAGAATCACAACCTCATCAACTGATTTACCATCATTCCCTGATATCCTACATCTAACCTCACTATTACTTACCCGTTGATACCAGCAGATTCTGGCATTATTTGTGAGGCATCTTTGGTCAAATACTAGTAGTAAGTCTCGTATGAGAACGCTTGACCTTCAGACCGCTGATCTAAATGTGTACAAGTAT